TGACACCTGGTGGTGCTGTTTGTTTACCTAAATATTATATTATGAGTGTGTGGCCGGAGGCTTAAGGGTAGCGCATCATTCTGACGGCGAACGAGATTATTTTGATTGAGAACTTAGCATAAAATAATGTTGATTTCCAATTTTTTAAAATCGGTAGGAACAGCCTGGTAATTCGGTAGGCGGTAGAAAAGTGAGAAAATCGGTAGCCTACCGCCTAAATCGGTAGGGTTGGCAGGTATGTATGCATGTTCTGCTGTCTTCCTTTTCCCTTCTTTCACGAGCCATCGAGTTCTGAATATCTGAAGCTGCATTTTGATTTACTAATTCTGGCAACACCAAATCATAAAGTTTGAATTCTGGCAACAGCATTAGGCTCGATCGCCAATTCGCCATTGGAGATGACGGATGGAGCCATATTAGGCGTTAAAAGCCGTGGTTTTTAGTAATAAAATGCTAAAATCCGATGTTATTAAGCAGAATCTGAATGAAGAAACATCGTAAGATATTGTTAGGAGCACACAGTAGGTAAAAAGACCAATTTTGAAGATAGAAGTGTTACAGTACTAAAGTGCATTAGCGCCGAAAGGTTTGCTTTATAATGTGGCTAAAAAAAACTATTAATGTAAATATTTAAGTAGATGCAGCAGTGCGTACAAATAGTTAGAGATTTCAATATGATGATTTTAGACATTTGTGAGGTTATATTACGCAAAATGATATTTTTGCTATGCCAATAGAACCAAAGGTATCTGCTTACGACTTACTCATATTTTATACCTCCATGCTGTCATACTACATCAGCCCTAGCTGTTCTGCTGATATGCAAAAGAGTAACAAAATTAATTTTCAACATTGTTGTTGATTAATTTGTTTGCCATGTTTGTTTCAACATTATGCACTTGTTGATTGCAGTCACCCCCCCCCCCCTGGCCTAGTGGGGACTTAGCAGGGGATTTCTAAACCGGTAACATGCTTGTGAAAGTCCCGGCCACCTCCCGGCAATGCGGGGCATCGTTTTAACGTACATCCCCAAATAAGTCCCCGCCACTTACAGCCGTACACACCCCAAACCACGGCTACTCTAATGTGTAAAATTCCCAGGCCTTCCCAGGCCTGTTACATCTACGGGTAAATTTTAGGTACGTTCTGGCACTACGGGGACACAACTATGTGTACATCCCTGGCTCAGTCCCGGCTAGTGCCCCGCTATGGCCCTGGGTCTTTGGGGGCCGGAACTACAATTGACAAGGGAACTATTATTTAACAGTATTATTTAACAACCTGGATAGTCGTAGTAGTGCATTTAGATGGAAAGACTTAAGTTTAAGGTATGATCAAGCCAGCTCCACCAATCAACACCTTCGATTTACATAAGGTAGTCAAAACAATATCCACATCCATTATTTTATCCATTAGAAATCAGTTGTTTAATATAATAATAAAAAATATTACGAATATTAATGTATTAATTGCACTCTCTAATAAGTATCACAGTGCTTAAAATTCTGTTTCATAATTCGTATTTCTTATTTATTTTGCCATCTGTAGCGAGTGTTTCTTAGCTGTTCCTATAGCAGTGGATCATCAAGCAAAGCATGGAGTATTGGACGTCTCAACCATGTTGCAATAGCTGTACCCAACTTAGGTAATGACATCAAATAACTAATTCAAAAATATATCTGTTTCTTTGTCTGTCTTTCTGGTTTGGCAAGACTTTTTTTATACTTTGTTTCATGAATGCCATCCAACCATATTTGTGAGTTTGAACCATATCTTGGTATTCAAATTTTTTTTTTTCAATTAAAAGACATTTTATTTTTTTAATGTTAAGACATTTTAATTTTGTATAAATGAACATTCTAAATATTATTATTTTTTGTGCAAATGAAAATTCTAATTAATTAAAAAATTCTATCAGATTAGCATTTCCAAAAACCCCAATGTAATAACTTGCGCCTTTACGGTATTTAAGTGTGGAGGAACACGCAGACCGGTTAGCGGTCGCTCTTGTTACTTGTGTAGAACCCAACTTGATGGATTGATTGCTTGACTGAAGATGGGCAGTAATTGTTTGCAAGATTGATTGAATAAATAAATGGGCAATGGTACATGCCTGGTACTCATTATTAGTATTAATTATGATCATAACAGTTCTGTTACCAGATAATCAATAAATAAATCAATTTTTCATACAGTAAGGCCTATAATTTAATTGTTCTGTTTTTTTTGTTTTTTGTTTTTTAAAGATAAAGCAACAAGTCTATACAGAGACATCCTGGGTGCAAAGGTCAGCGATGCTTTGGTAGGTTGACCAATCAATTGACTTGCTTAGTAGCTACTACTGGAATAGAATTTAATAATAGTGAAAAAAAATCCAATACAAAACTTAATGAGTTCACATCATCCAATATTTGCAATAGACAATCAACTTCATCTCTTAGTCTCATAGGGTTTATACAGCATCACTATCTGATTTGAGTCTAATTAAATACATTTAATTTTTACAAATGTATTCCCTACTTTTAGCCATTACCAGAGCATGGTGTCACAACAGTGTTTGTGGAGCTGGGCAACACAAAACTAGAATTACTCCACCCACTTGGTGAGAGTAGTCCGATTCAAGGATTTCTAAATAAGAAACCTGATGGTGGAATGCACCATATATGTATTGAGGTAAGTTTGTAGTTGATGTGCATTTATATTTATTTAATAGTTTAGTTGAAATTACAGTTTTGGAACATCCAGGTAATGCCCTTTGAACTATGAGCTATTTTTGGAACAAGATGATTAGGGACATCCTGGAATATTAGCAAACGCAATTAAAGCTTAATTATAAGAAGATGGAGTTCAGAATTTAACTTGTTTAATTAAAGTTCATGTAAAATAAAAGTATTAATTGCATTGGTCATCATCATCAATTTATCAGGAATTGTGCGGTCAACGCTTTTGACGTAACTCCAATTTTCGTATCCACAATGTACAGAATGTGAAAAAGTGGTTTTTGCAGATAATTTATAAGTTTTTCTTTAATATACTTTTTAATCAATATTTTGTGATGATTTTTTAAATGTTTCAGTAGAGTAAGTGGAAATCTTCACATTTCTTGTAGTGCTAATTCTGTTGCTCTGGCATTACATTCATAATTCTTCCATTTATGCAAATTACTCTGCCTGGATAGCGTTTTATGTAAATAAACGTAAAAATATATGAGCACATTACATTAGACGAGTGTCCACACAATGCTTACTCGGGCATAATGTTCTTTTTACTTAAAAGCTAGTTCAAAACATGGAAGAAGTAATTATGTAACTTTTTTAAAAGTGATAATCGCCATTTTTGCAACATTTATTTTGCATAAATTCTTGAAATTGTAAACAATGGCCGTACATTGACTGGTTGTTCTTTGTTAAGCCACGCACATCTGTGCAGCGGTAAAGTCCTACTTAACGAAGGCAACCAGTCGAATAGGAAACTGATAAATACTCGACAAAACAAAATGGCTGCATAGCTACCACAATACACGCTGCCTAATCAAGGTTGCTTCGGCTTGTAGCAGTATGGATTTTTCGTAAAAAAATGTTTTCATCCAGTTGAATTCTGAATAGCCTACGGTTATTTTTTTGACTTCATATGGGTAAATATTATAATATTTATTTTTTGAAATTTAGTCTAAATATGTTGATGCAACTGTTGTTGCCAATCAGCCATGTTTGTTTTTGTCACATGGATAACTTAACGCTGATTAATGCACTCTGGTTTACGTTAATTTCCATTGTCAACAAATGAACCTGTTGAATAAGCCCATTTATGAAAACATTGTTTCTACAAAAGTTTACACATCCAGGAAATATTGTTTTGCCACTAATTAGTAGGTAATTAATTTTTTTTAAAATAGAGGTCGTAATAAAGGTTGTATTTACTTGTGAGCTCTGAAGTAAGTGCATCTACACGACACTACTTGAACCATGTGTTCCTTAAATCTTCTGTACTACCCAGGGCTTACAAAGGTAAACTGCTAATTCAGAGCTTACGTCTAACTCGTTGCTTGTATAGCGCTTTTACTTGCAGTTATGAAGCGTTGTAAGTTTTTTCCTGGTCATCGTGTCCACATGCTTAAGTGTTGCTGCCATATATTGCTGGTAGCAGGCAACTCCACACCAGGTACCCATTTATACTCAAGTACAGTGTAAGTGAATTGACTATGAAATTTAGCATCAAGATAGGAAGAGGTCTTAATTGCATACTGATTAACTTTTGTGCATTTCAGTGGAGATTCTAAACACAAAAACCTGCATCGACCAACAAGATTTTATGTAAAATCAACCTGACAGACAGTGTGTGCAACCGATAATTTTTACTGACCATCCTCTCAGATTGCTACCAGCAATCACCGTGTCCTAAGTACACTGAGAGCAGAGATGGGTTCGGTATGAACGTCGGCCGACATAGTATGTCTACGACTTTATTTAATGTGAACTGTACATTACAGTGTGACTATAAATGTGGTTTTTACCTTAGGCAAATAGCCAAGTCTAAACCTTCTACCTACTGAGTAACTTGTCAGACAACCCTCTACCTGTCAAGTAAGCTTTAACCTAGAGGGCAGGTGATTACCCTGGGTGTTGTCAATCAAAACTTACTCATATCTATCAATATTTAATAGCTATATATGAATAGCGCCCTCAAGTATGTAATCAGTATGATGTTGGTTCTTCTTGGTATATTTATACCAGGATTCAACAATAATTTCTGCTAACAATATAAACAAAACATAGACAAGATTACAAGATCAATAGTGCCCTCTATAGTTTAAATTACCTAATTTAGAAAGATATAATTCAAAATTTTTATCAATTTTATTTTTTTGAATTATCTCCACCAAATGTTTATAGTTAAAGCCCCATTCCCAGCAAAATTTCAGTTAAGAAAAATCTGATTTTTATATATGTTATAAAGATTTATAATTATAATACGAATTTGTAGTTTAACTGAATTTTAGACATTCCTAAACATGAACAAAATGTAAAGACTGAAATTTAATTTTTTTAGTGTTCCACACAAAAAATAAATGCGGATGAATTTTTTATGTTTGGTTTTGCGATAGGTCTGCGAAGAAATATAGTAGGCGCCGGAAACATTAGCCTATCCAACACTGCCAGGCTAGGCCTGGCCTTACCTCGATTTAGGTTCTGTTATCACACATAAAAACAGCCGACATGATATTTTCTGTTGCTATTAATAGTATTGGCACTTGTGAAATATAATATTTCATAGGAATTATTTCAAATCTGTTAAAAAAATGATACTGACCGAGATTTTGACAGTTAAACAAACATATCTCAGGCTTACTCAATCGACCGCAGTGTGCGAGATGCGAAGTACAAAAACTAATTTCATTAGAGAGGGCACACTTTATTGACTATAAAGTATACGTAAAAGCGAGAACATTCCAGCGGATGCGATCTACAACCCCTGAATTTGCCTAGTAACGAAGAATTCGTCAAGAAAATGGTAATTTCTATGAGAAATAGACTGTATTTCTCATTTTTCTTATTCTTTTGCGTAAAACTAAAATTTATTCGAATATTTTTCCATTGTTTATAATATGCATTTTTTCTAAAAAAAATCTTTTTTAGTGAAATATTGCCGGGAATGGGGCTTTAAATAATGTTTTATTAATATTAGCATGCATTTAAACAAATTTAGCACCAAGATTATGATCAGTTGGTTTTAGAAATAACATATAACTTGGTTTGTCAATGCTGGACCAACATCTAAATATTCAATTTAAAGGATGTATTTCAGTTTAATTAACTCCATTAACAAAGAAAATTAAAATTTTAACAGAATTCTGGAATTAGAATTTACATTCCATTATAAATCTTTTGTATATTTCTCCCATTTTTTTTTCCAACAATATAGGTGGCCATGCCAGCTTCCCCCTCCCCCACCATAACCCTTGATTTTGCCTCTGAAGATAAACATTGCACTACAGTACTTTCCAAAAGACATTGAAAATATATTGTTTTTTATTAAGTTCATTATTGTTAGGAATGAGCAAGTGGACTGAGTCAAAGATAGCACTTATCCTCGAGGGATAATCTTTGACGGTACTATCACTTACGGATGTACAGTACCCAGGCATTCGATCTTATGCACCTCAGCTTCATTATTATGAAAGTATTGTAACCGATCGCCTCAAGCAAGTGCCATAAACTTGTGACTGTCTCATCACCAACGTAATTATGATGAGAACGATGTGGTTTTTATCGTGGTTCCACAACATTGGCTTTTGTAGTATCCGAGCGTCCGTGATGGAACGGTAACTGAGCGTGTCTCCCAGCGGGACACCAAGCGTAGATCATGTAAATATCTTGATGAGCACAGTGTAATTTAGTAACAAAAGTACTTGGTTTATATGACATTCATGTATTGCGTGGGGTCATGTTTCTCAGATGTAGTTCATCTTAACTATGATACTTCTGCACATACTATGCATTCATTAATGTTGACAATTGCATGCATGTAGATGAAGCTTACTCATAAACTACCTAAGTTGGTTAAATAATGATGAACAATAAATTAAAATCATTGATAGCAAGTACATAAGCAGTTATTGGTTTAGTATAAATTATACAAGCATTAATAAAGTTAAATATTTGATTTGCTTTATATTTTAAGTATTGAGCTTTAACTGAAATAGAGGATGCAAAAATGTATGCCCGCCAATTACCAAGTACTTAAACACACCCTTATTAGTTTCACGACCTTCATTTTTTCAGTGATGGTAAGAATATAAGAACTTTTTTTTTAATTGAAATTTAAAAAAGTTGTATAGTTTAGAATTTCTGTGGTGTTGGTGAGTGTTAGTATTGTCATTGTTGTTCTGTTATTTTTGTTTTATTATGATTTAATATTATGATTATTAATTGTATGTTTTTAGTATTGTTGTTGTTATTGTAAAATTATATGCAGAATAACTAGGAGCTAGTTACATATCCTTTTTGTTGCAAAAGTAAATAAAAAAATTAATAAGATTTATAAAATGCAACATATCCATTGCAAGGTTACCGGAGTGTACTGTTAATGGTTAAAATTTTCCGATCAACGAATCACTGTTTATTACTAATGAAATTCAAAACACAAGCACTATGTTCCATCTGATGATAATTTTATTTCTTTTATAGTTTTAAATAACAGACAACCAGTATATGCTTTTCACACATGTTTTACGGAAACTATTTAAATGAATTATTATTGTGAGTTTATCTTTGGATTGTCAAAGTAAATTAGTGTTTATAGGATAAGTCTGTTCATTCCTAAATTTACAGTGCACGATATGAGATCTAGAAATACCTAAGTATTTGGCGTTGACCCAAAATCCTTTGCCCAGAAATAGCCTTAATCAGAGCAGCCTTGGCCTTTCCAAGACCAAGGCCGAGTGCTCCGTGTCTTGATTGTAGCAACGAGCATCATCATTGAAAGTTTTCCCCGTCGACATGTTGGCAGATGATTGTGCGAGAATGATTATGAAGATATTGAACAGATAACAACAATAATGTTGAAAAATCCAGTTATTTTCAAGGCTGAAAATTAATCAAGTAAATTTACAGGCGTGTTTTGAAGACACTGTCATTGTTGAAAATGAATCATTGCCAAGCACTTAGTCACTG